GGGAGTTAGTCACTCTGTGCTCTTGAACCACAAGGGACAGCCCTCCACTCCTGCCCTGTCCCCGAAGCAATTACTTCAGAGTCCCTGTGGGTGAGGGGGCAGATGCTGTGTTTGTAAAAGGCTCCCCAGGAGGCTCCAGTGTGTGTCCTGGGTGGAGACAGGCTGTGGGCCTCTATTCTCGGCTCTCCTGAGCAACATTTCTCAGACCTTCAGCTCAGGCCTCCCAGGTGGCCATAAGGCAGGGTCTCAGTCCTGGCTGTCCACCAGGCTCCCCTGGGAGGCCCTTAATAACCACCAATTTGGGAATGTAAAATGGAACAGCACTTTGGAAAACAGTTTGGCAGTTTCTCAAAAAATTGCACTTACCATATGATCCAGCAGTCCACTCCTAGCTATTTACCTAAGGGAAATGAACTCGTATGTCCACCCAAAGATCCATATACCATTCTAACAGCTCCACACTGAAAACCATCCTAATGTCTATCAATGGCTGAATGGATAAACAGATTGTGGTACCTCCATCCCTGAAATCTCAGCACTAGCAAGGAGTGAAATACTGCACCATGCAACAACATGGGTGAATCTCAAAAAATAATTATATTGAGTGAAAGACACTCACTGAACCAAAACAACAACAACAAACCCACACTGTATGGTTCCATTTATATAAAATTCAGAAAATGTAAACTAATCTAGAGTAATAGCTAGCAGGTCAGAGTTACCTGGTGATGGGGGGAGCAGGGTTAAGGAGGAGTGAGAGGGAGGAACTAAAAGGGACACAGGGAAACTTTTAGGGGTGATCGTCTTGATTGCAGTGAGAGTTTCATGGATGTATACGTACATCAAAAGTTCTCAATGAGTACACCTTTAAAATGTGTGGTTTATTAAATGCTAGTTATACCTCAATCATGCTGTTTAAAACAACAACAGAACTACCAATATTCAGGCCCCAATTCAAGAGATCCCATTTCATGTGCCTGGAAGGGGGCCGCGCCTCCAGTACTTTCTAGAGGACCCAGTTGGTTCTAATGCGCAGTCATGATTGGGAACCATCTGGAGTTACTCTCCCAAACCACTGAAAGGATTAGCAATAACAAGGAGAGGGGCGATGGGGAAGCCTAAGGGTTGGTGACGCATTAGGATGACGATGTTGATGATGGTTATTAAGCCCAAATTGCCTTAAGAGATGGCACCAACATGGGGCGCTTGGGTGGCTCAGTCGTTGGGCGTCTGCTTTCAGCTCAGGTCACGATCCCAGGGTCCTGGGATCAAGCCCTGCATCAGGCTCCCTTCTCAGCGGGGAGTCTGCTTCTCCCTCTGCCCCTACCCTGGCTCGAGCTCGCGTGCACTCTCTCTCTCAAATAAATAAAATCTTAAAGAAGAGAGAGAAATGGCATCAACAATGAATAGCTGACTCCACTAGGTGGCATCTGGACGCTTCCCTTTAGCATGACTTCCTCGGGAATCGCAGATTCGGAGCCTTAGCTGCCCGAGGTGTGTTGTGAGAGGGAGCTCCGTGCACACAAACCTAGCCAGGTTTGCTGGAAGAGAAAACAGCGAGTCGGGAAGACGTCAGCAGGATCCAATGTGCTCTCCTCAGCCTATCCACCTGACTCCATAGTCACAGGGATCAGATTCCTCCATTTCCAAGTCAAGGTTCTAGTGTCATCTGAGGTTCAAAGAGCAGAGCTGTTTATTCAGGCACTGTGTAACCCATGGGGAGTAAATGAAGTTCCTATAGAGAAGACCAAATGTCTTGAGCTTAGAGCACCAGGCAGAAATCACTGTCTCCAATGGACCACCCTGCAGTCTTCTCTCCCTCCATTAAGGAACAGTCCTGACATTTTTTTTAAAGATTTTATTCATTTATTTGAGAGAGAGAGAAAGCACAAGCCAGGGAGGAGCAGAGGGAGGACAAGCAAACTCCGTGCTGAGCACAGAGCCCCACGCAGGGCTCAATCCCACGACCCACGAGATCAACCCGAGCCAAAACTAAAAGCCAGATGCTTAACCGCCCCTTGACATTTTTACATTGCTTCCCCTGGACCTTAGGCCAGTCAGTCAAAAGACACCATGACCAGCCCCTCTGTCTTCTGCTTCCCCTAACCTCTATCCCTGAAGGGGTTCCTCACCATTTATTTTATTTTTTTTTAAAAGATTTTATTTATTTGACAGAGAGAGACACAGCGAGAGAGGAAATACAAGCAGGGAGAGTGGGAGAGGGAGAAGCAGGCTTCCCACTGAGCAGGGAGCCCCGTTCAGGGCTTGATCCCAGGACCCTGGGACCATGACCTGAGCCAAAGGCAGACACTTAACAACTGAGCCACTCAGGCGCCCCTGAGCTCACCATTTTAGTTCTCCTGCCATTGTCTGGCCTCTGCTGTGCCGAGCCAGAGTCACTTTCCTAAGTGATCACACATCTTCCAGCAGCCCTGAAGGGTCAAGCATTTGGGTGGCCATGATTTGGAGGGGGGCGCACACGTTAGGCTTTGCTGTTTGTGCTTCACTGTCCTCCACCAGGGAACATGAAGCAAGTCCCCAAAGGAAGGATCAAAACACACTAAAGAATAACAGCCCACATCAGTAGTTACAAATTCTCCCCAGAACCCAGCAAGAACTGGGGTCCGAGCTGGCCCTCGGTCCACAGGCCCCAGAGTAACGAATCTGCTTTGTCAGCTTCCTTCTGTCAGGGCTCACCAGGCTCCAGGTAATTCTGTCACCAGGATCCCGCAGGCTGCAGCAGGCCTCTGTGAGAAAAGTACCGCTAAAGTAGCTTCGATCACGGGCCCCTGTCATTACATAGGAATCCCAATGCAGGGCTCTCTTTTATCTGTTCTGCGTGTGGGGATTCCATGCATGACTTCTTCAAAGGATTCTGCTGCTAAAACGTTAGCCAAGCACTCTCCTACGTCATCCTGAAATATTCTCCTTCCTAGAAACCTAAGCTCTTGTTGCAAATTTGGGCACATGATGTTCAGATCATTTCAGAGAAATGATTCCTCCTCCTTCTTAGAGGGCCTCCTCCAGACTTTGAAAACAAAGAGCCTTGTCCCTCCTCTTTGCTCAAGGTTGTGCCAGTCTCCCAACCAATCTCCTTCTCGAGTTCTCTCAGATGCTCAGGGCACAGAATTCTCAAGGGGGGCCTTGACCTCTGGAGATTCGGTGCACGTCCCCAAATACCGGAGGCTACCTTCTGTTTCAGACTTGGTTCAGTCCCTTGGCATTGGCTTTCTGGTTCCTTGTTTTTTTTTTTTTTCAATTTTTCAATTGCTTAAAAATGATTGGTATTAAATGCTGAGTAGATTTTAAAACTCGTAAAATACATATAAAGTATAAAGAATCATAGTCCGTGAGCAAAGATTTTTTATTTACTTGTCAGAGAGAGAGAGAGAGAAGCAGACTCCCCGCTGAGCAGGGAGCCCAGTGTGGGACTTGATCCCACGACTCCGGGATCATGACCTGAGCCAAAGTCGGGCACTCAACCAAGTGAGCCACCCAGGCAGCCCGATCCATTGTGTTCTTGATGAACTTTGGGGTTGCTGTCAGTGTTTACTATTATGAACAGTGCTGCTGTGAACGTTCTTGTACATATATCCTGGTATACCTGTCCAAGAGTTGCTCCCAGAGTGGAATTTCTGGGTCATAGCGAAAAAACATGTTTATATTATCAAGACAATTCAAAATCGTTTTTCCAAAGTGGATGTTGCAATTTATGCTTCCATCATCACTGGCTGTTTTGTTGCACTGTATCCCTGCCAGCCCTAGGTATTGTCCAACTTCCTAACTTTTACCAGTCCAGTACGTGTAAACTGGCATTTTCTTTTCTTTTCTTTTTTTAAGATTTTATTTATTCATTTGAGACAGAGAGATACATAGAGAGAGAGCATGAGCAGGGGGAGAGGCAGAGGAAGAAGCAGGACATGGGGCTGGATCCCAGGACCCGGAGATCATGACCTGAGCCGAACGAAGGCAGACGCCCAACCATCTGAGCCACCCAGGTGCCCCTAAACTGGCTTTTCTTGTAGTTTTTTTTTTTTTTTAAGATTTTATTTATTTATTTGAGAGAGAGAATGAGAGACAGCACGAGAGGGAAGAGAGTCAGAGGGAGAAGCAGACCCCCCGCCGAGCAGGGAGCCCGATGCGGGACTCGATCCCGGGACTCCAGGATCATGACCTGAGCCGAAGGCAGTCGCTTAACCAACTGAGCCACCCAGGCGCCCCTTTTCTTGTAGTTTTAATTGGTTTACAGGATTGCGGAAGAGGCTGAGAATATTTTCATGTATATTGGCCATTTGTCTTTTCTCTCCTTGAAGTGCCTGTTCTGGGAGAGCTCTCTGTTGAGCGGTAAGGCCACAGGCTTCAGAGCGTGGCCCTCAGGGACAGATGTCCCAGGCTAGAGTGTAGTTTCGAAGGTACGACGACGACTGAGGAGCGGCCCCCCTGGCACCTGCATCCCATCTAGCTCAGTGACATGCCCTCAAAACCACGGTCGGAGGGTCTCTGGCTGATACGACCAGCTCCCCGCAGCCTAGTTACGCAGCCGCCGAGGCTGGAGCTCAGGGTCCCAGCATGCTTCCCTGGCCCCCAGTCCAGTGGAGAAAACCGGCTGTCTTCCGGCCCCGTTGCCCGCGCTGTGCTGCAGGCTGCTCATACTGAAGATGGGACTGAGGACTCGCCACTGTACCCTCTAAAATTCCACAAGTTCCTTCCGTTGTTAGTTCATCCTGAGTTATGGGGACCTGAGGTCTCATTCCTTGGGTCAGCCAGTACCGCGCTGGGCGCTAGAGACGAAAACAGGGGAAGACCACCTGGCCAGCCCTCAGCCCGGCTGCGGGAGCGCCCCGCCCGCCCACCAGGGGCTCCGCACGGCGCACCGTCGGCCTCGGCGCAGGCCCCACCCCACACCGCCCAGGCTTCCGCTCGGGGACGGAGTCTTGAACTCCGGGCCCAGGTCGCCCCCTAAGGGAGGCGCGTCACGTGACCGCGCCGGGCGGAGGGGGTGGAGCCGGGCGGAGGGGGTGGCGCCCAACGGCCGCGCCGCCGCCCGGTCGCCTAGCAACGCCCCCACGCGGAGCCATGCAGGCGGGCGGCGACAGGGAGCTGCGGGCCAAGAATTATTTGGAAAAACATCGGATTATGGAGCTGCTGAACTATCTCACCAGCGCCCTGCTCTTTTTCCGGCCAGGTAAGGGTCCGGCCTGGCGCTCGGCTTTCGGTCCCACCCGCCTCCCCGCCCCGGCGGGCCCAGAAATTCCCGGGACAGCCGTCCCTGCAGGCCCGCGCCGCTCCCCGTGCCCCCTCCACACGCGCCCTCGCCCCCGCCTCCCGGCTGCTTGAGCCCTTCTGCCAGCCCGCGCCGCGGCCCTCGAACGAGCACTTCTTGAACGGCCTCTTTGTGTCTACCGCGGGCCGGGTGCGCGGGCCTCACGCAGGGGAGGCTCGCGGCGGGTGGGAGAGAGGCTCGGGGGAGGGTCGTCCTTAGTACTAGGGGGTGTGGGCGAGGGCCTGCGCTTCGGTGCCCTCTTCTGGAAAATGGGGAGAACAGTACCGAGTTCATGGACGCGCCGGGAAGATTAAATGAGTAATATGTAAATCAGCCCTATGCGGGGCAACCAACAGATGTTTCATTTTGATTTTTTATAAAAGCATACGTATGGGGTTTAAAAATCAAAAAGTAGGGCACCTGGGTGGCTCAGGTGGTTGAGCGTCTGCCTTCGGCTCAGGTCATGATCCCAGGGTCTTGGGATCGAGTCCCGCATCGGGCTCCCTGCTCCTTGGGAGCCTGCTTCTCCCTCTGCTTCTCTCTCAATCTCTCTCTCTCTGTCTCTCATGAATAAATAAATAAAATCTTTAAAAAAAAAATCAGAAAGCACTCCAAGGCTTATAGTGAAAAACAGCATGTTCCTCCCTGTCCCAGATTCCTACTCTACAGAATGATTCCCAACTCCTTTAGCTATTTACCTTGATATTTCTAAATCACAGACTTGCACATACTTACTAATGTTCCCCCAACCCCCCAGGTTTAGATTTAGCCTCATACTATGTAAGAGGAAACTTCGAGCGCAAACACACACTCACACCTGTTCCCACTCATCCCCACCTTCCCAATAAAGTTAGAATTCAATTTTGGTGTGACCAGTAGTCAGAATTTACATTATTATTAGGCAAATATCCACAGCTAATCCATACAGCATGCTATGATTATATTTCCTTTGCTGATTTCCCTGGAATTAATAATACTACATTTTAAATGTTTACTTAAATTTTCTGTGTCATTACTACTGATTTATCGATATCCTCTTTTTGTTGCAAGCAGAGATCTCCTCTCAGTAGGAAAGGAGATTCATCCTGTAATCACCACCCGCAGCACATCCCCCGGCTCTTTCTGTCTTACTGCTCCAGGCTGGACTGATGGTCCAGCTGCCCTGCTGTGCTGTATGGCGATCATTCAGGGGTTTCCCTCTATCTGACCCTAATCCTCTTCACCTCTCTCCTGTGCTTACAGCCTGTTTGTTTTATGGTGCTTGGGTCTCCCTCTTTTTTGCTTTTTCCCCCCTTCCTCTAGAGGAACATATCCTCTAGCGGCTCCCTGAGACAGTGTGCTTTGTTCGAGCAGTAAATATTTTGAGAACTCACGTATATGAAAGTGTCTCATCCTACCCTCAAACATGATGATAACTAGGGTAGATAAAATTCTCAGTTAGAACATATTGCTCTCAGGGCGCCTGGGTGGCTCAGTTGGTTAGGCGGCTGCCTTCGGCTCAGGTCATGATCCTGGAGTCCCAGGATCGAGTCCCGCATCAGGCTCCCTGCTCGGCAGGGAGTCTGCTTCTCCCTCTGGCCCTCCCCCCTCTCATGCTCTCTGTCTCTCATTCTCTCTCTCTCAAATAAATAAATAAAATCTTAAAAAGAAAATATTGCTCTCAGAATTTGGAGGGCATTGCCCCTTTGTCTTCTAATTATCAATGAGATGCTGTTACCCCCTGTAACAATGTGAACTTTTTTTAAAAAAAGATCTTATTTATTTATTTATTTGAGAGAGAGAGAGCGCGCACATATGCGCACACAACCCGGGGCGGTGGGGGGGGGGGCAGAGGGAGAAGCAGACTCCCCGCTGAGCGGTCCTGATGCGGGGCTCCATCCCAGAACCCGAGATCATGACCCAGGCTGAAGGCAGATGCTTAACCGACGGAACCACCCAGGCGCCCTACAATGTGAACTTCTTGAAACATCTCTACAAACTCCAAAGGGGGTGGGAGGGGCAGGGAAAAGGTGAAGAAATACTGAGGAGAAGCTAAGGAAGGGTTTGGCTGGTGTCCAGAGTACAGGGCAATGCCTCCAAGTTCCCTGCCCAGATCCTCTTAATGGCAAAGAAGAGGGGGCTTGTACCTTTGGTGTCTGAGCCCTTAGCCTGATGCTGCCTGACAAGTTTCTCTGGAGTCACCTGTTTTACCATAAAAAGTTACAAGTTTTGTTCTTCTACAGATATATCCATTTCTTACTATTAATGTTTCATATTACTCACCAGAGTACGATTGATTCTCAGGAAGAAACACTATCTTCACCTGGGGTCTTTACGAAGCCTCTGGCGTTATGACATGTATCCCCGTTTGAAAAGCTTGGATCGTGAGGGATTTATGGAAAATAAGACTAGATAGTTGGATTGCATTTACTACTATTGAGGGAATAGGTCTACAGTCCCACGTCCTCAACTCCAAAATTCTAACAGCCCTGAAAACCACATTTTCACAACTCATTTAACAGCAAAACCTAACATAACCTGAAGTCATTCGATAGGGAAACGTGTCACTTCCCAGTGACAATTCTGTGCTAGGGAGGGAGGGAGTATAAATGCTTAGGGGAGGCCTTTAATAAAATTAGAATTTCATTTTTAAAAAGGAGACAATTGTAACCGAGATGACAGATGCTGCTATGGGAACGGTTAAAGGAGGATAAGATATCTTTGAGAGTTATGGAGGACTAGGTTTGGGGGTTCCAGATACTTCCTGTATTTGAGTTATAGAGTGTGGAAAAGCCTGCAAATTTTAGGGAGCACATTGCCTGGATTCATACTAGCTGTGGGTCTTGGGGAAGTGATGGTTATGAGGAATACCAGGCACATAGTGAGGGCTCAATAATTATTAGCTGCTGTTATTAAGATGTGAACTTGAGGTTTTGTTTCCCTTGAAAAACTGATTGTCATTATCAGCTGACATATAACTTAGGTGGTTAGTAACATTTGGATCCTCCCTTCATGTTTCATTTTTTAATTTTTTTTAAAGATTTATTTATTTGAGAGAGAGAGAGCGCACAGTTGGGGGGGGGGGAGAGAGAATCTCAAGCCAACTTCCAAGTCCAGCGCAGAGCCTGACACGGTACTCGATCCCAGGACCCTGAGACCATGACCTGAGCCAAAACCAAGAGTCGGATGCTCAACCAACTGATCCAGCCAGGCACCCCACTTCATGTTTTAAAAAGTTATATCTTTAGGGGCGGCTGGTTGCCCCAGTCAGTGGAGCATGCAATTCTTGTTCTCGGGGTTGTGAGTTCAATCCCCATGTTGGGTAGAGAGATTACTTAAAAATAAAATATTTCTGTGAAGTTAATATCTTTTTCAAATTTAATTTATTTATTTGAGAGAGACAGCACACAAGCAGGGGAAGCAGCAGAGGGAGAGGGAGAAACAGTCTCCCCACTGATTAAGGAGCCCAATGTGGGGACGCCTGGGTGGCTCAGTTGGTTAAGCAACTGCCTTCGGCTCAGGTCATGATCCTGGAGTCCCGGGATCGAGTCCTGCATCGGGCTCCCTGCTCAGCAGGGAGTCTGCTTCTCCCTCTCCCGCTCCCCCCTCTTGTGCTCTCTCTCTCTCTCAAATAAATAAATAAATAAATCTTTAAAAAATAATAAAAATAAAAAGGAGCCCAATGTGGGACTCCCATCCCAGGACCCTGGGATCATGACCTGAGCCAAAGGAAGATGCCCAACCAACTGAGCCACCCAGGCGCCCCTCTTTAAAGTTAATATCTTTATTATTTCTGTTGTAAGCATTTTAAAAACATTTTTAGAAGCAGGCAGAGTATAAATTATAGACTCCAGACATAAACATTATAGCATCTCATATAGTCTAAAGGATATACAGTAAAAATCCTTCATCAGAGAAACACACCAAGTTCTATTAGCATTATTTACTTACTCTTAAAAAGAAAAGTAGTGAATTAAAATTCAAACAGCCTTTTTTTCTCTTTCTGAATTTGATAAATAGGTCAAAGAGAAGCAACAGAAGACTACATACATGATGTGATTGCCTTTAGTAACCCATTTGTTTCTATAGTCTGTTAAAATTTGTACAGAAAGGCACAAGAGAGATCTAAAAACATAATCACAATGTGTGGATGTTATTTGAATAAGTGTTTAAATTCACTTTTACTGGGCGCCTGGGTGGCTCCGTTGGTTAAGCGACTGCCTTCGGCTCAGGTCATGATCCTGGAGTCCCGGGATCGAGTCCCGCATCGGGCTCCCTGCTCGGCAGGGAGTCTGCTTCTCCCTCTGACCCTCCCCCCTCTCATGTGCTCTCTCTCATTCTCTCTCTTAAATAAATAAATAAAATCTTTAAATTCACTTTTACTTTTTAAATTTTCTTAACTATTTTTTGTAAGATTTTATTTATTTGAGAGAGAGAGCCAGTGCATGAGCAGGGGGAAGGGGCAGACGGAGAGGGAGAGAAGCAGACTCCCTGCTGAGCACGGAGCCAGACGTGGGACTTGATCCCAGGACCCTGGGATCATGACCTGAGCTGAAGTCAGATGCCACCCAGGCACCCCTACTTTTTTATTTTTAAAAAGTGTTCACAATTCATAAAATTTGTGGGACAACCTGATACCATAAGACTCCTAGAAGAAAATTCAGGAAAGAAGCTCCCTGACACGGTCTTGGCAATGATTTTTCAGATATGACACCAAAAACACAAACAACAAAATAAAAAAATCAACAACTGGGACTACATCAAACTTAAAAGCTTCTGCACCACAAAAGAAAGGATCAACAAAATGAAAAGCCAACCTATAGAATGGGAGAAAATATTTGCAAACTATATATCAGTTAAGATCTAAAATGTATAAAGAACTCCTACAACTCAATAGCAAAAAATCTGATTTAAGAATGGGCAAGGCGGGGCGCCTGGCTGGCTCAGTCAAGAGAGCACGGGACTCTTGATCTTGGGGTCATGAGTTTGAGCCCCACGTTGGGTGTAGAGGTTGCTATAAAAAAATAAACTAAAAAAAATGGGCAGAGGAACTAAATAGACATTTTTCAAAGAAGATATACAATGGCCTGCGGGTACATTAAAAGATGTTCCCTAGGGGCGCCTGGGTGGCTCAGTCGTTGAGCGTCTGCCTTCGGCTCGGGTCATGATCCCGGGGTCCTGGGATCGAGCCCCGCATCGGGCTCCCTGCTCGGCGGAAGCCTGCTTCTCCCTCTCCCACTCCCCCTGCTTGTGTTCCCTCTCTCGCTGTGTCTCTCTCTGTCAAATAAATAAATAAAATCTTTAAAAAAAAAAAAAAAGATGTTCCCTAATTATCAGGGAAATGCAAATCAGAACCAAAATGAGAGTGGGGCGCCTGGGTGGCTCAGTCATTAAGTGTCTGCCTTCGGCTCAGGTCATGATCCCAGGGTCCTGGGATCGAGCCCCGCATCGGGCTCCCTGCTCTGCGGGAAGCCTGCTTCTCCTTCTCCCACTCCCCCGCTTGTGTTCCCTCTCTCACTGTGTCTCTCTCTGTCAAATAAATAAATAAAATCTTTAAAAAAAAAAACAAAAACCAAAATGAGATACCACCTCACATGTGTTGGAATGGCTAGTGTCAAAGAGGCAAAGATAACAAGAATGTGGAGAGAAAGGAACCCTTGTGCACTGTTGGTGGGAATGTAAATTGGTGCAGCCACCATGGAAAACAGTATGGTGGTTCCTCAAAAAAAAAAAAAAAAAAAAAAAATCAGAACTACCGTATGCCCCAGCAATTCCACTTCTGGGTATATATCCAAAGGAAATGAAAACAGAATCTGAAAGAGAGATCTGCACCCTCATGTTTATTGCTGCATAATTAACGATAGCCAAGATATGGAAACAGCCTAAGTGTCTGTCTACAGATGAATGAATAATGAAGATGTGGTATATTTATACAATGGAATATTATTCAGCCATGAGAGAAAAGGAAATCCTGCCATTTGCAACGTGGATGCCCCTTGAGGATATGCTAAGTGAGCTAAGTGAGAGAAAGACAAATACTGCATGATATCACTTATATGGGGAATCTAAAAAAGCCAGTTGTAAAAACAGAGTAGAATGGTGAGTGGTGGGGGAGTAGGAGAGCTGTTGTTTAAGGGTATGTACCTGCAACTCGTAGGTCAGTCTTGGAAATCGAAAGCACGGCATAGTGCTTACAGAAGGTATTACTGTATGATAAACATTAAACTTGCTGAGAGACTAGATCTTAATTATTCCTGCCCCCAAAAAGAAATGATAATTATGTGATGTGATAAAAGTGTAGCTAATACTAGTGACAATCATATTGCAAACTATAAATGTATCAGATCAACATGTTATGTAATTACATGTATTACACAATGCTACATGTCAGTTACATCTCAAAAGAATTTTTTTTTTTTTTAAAGATTTTATTTATTTATTTGAGACAGAGAGAATGAGAAGGAGAGAGCACATGAGAGGGGGGAGGGTCAGAGGGAGAAGCAGGCTCCCTGCCGAGCAGGGAGCCCGATGCGGGACTCGATCCAGGGACTCCAGGATCATGACCTGAGCCGAAGGCAGCCGCTTAACCAACTGAGCCACCCAGGCGCCCAAGAAGTCCTTACCTTTTAGAGATACATGCTCAAATATTTATTAATGAAATATTATCACTGTAATTGACTTCAAAATAATACAGGAAGAGGGGACCTGGATGAGATGATGGTGAAATGAGACTGGCCACAAATTTTAACAGTTAAAGTTGGTTGATGGGTTCATTATACTTTCCTACTTTTATATATTTATGAAATTCTCAAGAAAAAGTCTTTTTTTTTTTTAAGATTTTACTTATTTATTTGACAAAGAGAGGGGGAGCAGCAGGGAGTGGGAGAGGGAGAAGCAGACTCCCTGCTCAGCAGAGAGCCCGACACGGGGGCTCGATCCCAGGACCCCTTGATCATGACCTGAGCCGAAGGCAGATGCTTAACCAACTGAGCCACCCAGGTGCCCCTAAGAGTCTTTGTTTTTATTTATATTTTATCCCTTTTAGCTGGCTACCTTCTTCCATGCATCATGTTGTACCTTTTTTTTTTTTTTTTTTTTTGGTTTTCGACGCTTGTCTGCAAATTAGAATCACCTGAGGAGCTTTTTAAAAAAATGCTCAGGTCCCATATGTGGGGTAGAGCACTTTATATATGTTATTAATTGTCTAATGTCTTGTTTTACTTGTAAGCAAGGTCTGTGACCCCAGTGCCTAGTACAGTACTTTGAACATAGTTATTTAATAATTATTAAATGATTGTTTCCATTTGTGATGTATCTTAATTCTATGTCAGAAAGAATTGGAACTATTCTTTTACAGAAAAGCCAAGAGAGTATTTAATATCTATATTGGAACGACTGAGAATTGCCAAAATAACAGGCGTGGCTTTTCCTTTCTTTATGGACCACTCTAACATTGTGTCTATGTTTGAGATGATGGACACTTCAGAGAAAGGCACCATATCATTCGCGCGGTACAGAGAAGGTCAGTACCCTCCACCCGCTGACGAACAGTGTGTGCTCAGTCCTTAACGTTCCCTAGTTGAAAATAATGCTTGCTTCGTAAATTTTCCCTTCTTCTCATTCTGATTTTACAGGCCTAAAAACCCTGGGTCTGTTGAATGAAGATGAAGTTTTAAAAGATGATGGACATGTAATAACTTTGGAAAAATTCAGATCTGAAGTGTAAGTTTATTTTTACATGGCTGATATTTAAATGACATGACATGACTTTGAAGTACAAGTAATATAATTTAAAACAGAAGTTCCTACCTTTTGACAGAAACATTTCATTCCCTTGAAACTTTCAGCTATCTAGAAAGCAAGGGGTGACAGTCAAGTCTGGAATTAGGAAGTTCCTGGGGCAGATTAATTCTTTTCTCAATGGGAAAGCCCAGCAGTTCTCAAAGAAATGTGGGAGAGAAGCTCCAGTCTGCTAGAACTAACAGAAAAGCTTTGTTCCCAATACACTAGTTGGAAAATCTCTATAAAATATGGAGCAATAGAAGTTCTCTCAGAGTTATTTCCTCAAAGTTATATATCACCAAGTAAATGTTTATTGATAGTATAGGTTGTGGGCGCCTGGCTGGCTCAGTCAGTAGAGAATGAGACTCTTGATCTCAGGGTCATGAGTTCAAGCCCCACGTTGGGCGCAGAGCTTACTTAAAAACAAACAAAAAAAAACAGTATGGGTTGCATGCCAGCCCAACAATTTTAGATTTGAGGTATTACAGCTTGAAAAGTACTAACTAAATGCTAAGTCAGAAAAAAAAAAAAGGAATAAAATTTGATAGTTGTAGAAGGCTTCTAACCAATGGAACTCAATTCCTTTATTTTGTTCTCTGAGGATTTATTAATCAAGAAATCATTATGTAACAGAGTCCAGAGCCAGGGAAAAGTTAGAAGAAAAAAAAAGTTAAAGATTTCTATCTCATTCTCACTTACATAAACACTAAACAAAAACTGTTTAGTTCCCATCCCTACCCCAGGGGAAAGACAAACACAGCGCTCTGGCCTGAAATGTTTCATCCAAACGGAAAGGCTGCCTACTGTCATATGAATGGAACTAGGAAGGGCATTTATTGATTCATTCATTCATTTATTTATAAAGATTTCTTTATGAGAGAGAGAGTGAGTAGTGCACGCAAGGGTAGGGGGGCAGAGAAGAGAGCGGGAATCTCCAGCAGACTCCCCACCGACCGTGGAGGCCAATGCATGGGGCTTGATCCCACAACCCTGAGATCATGACCTAAGCCGAAACCTAGAGTCCGATACTCACCCAACTGAGCCACCTAGGCGCTCCTAGGAAGGATTCTAAATGTAAGGACATTTGTGGAAAATGAGAGCAATTCTGTTTTAGTCACCATCTCATGTTTTCTTACAGGAAATAGAGTGAATTTCCAAACCAAATACAGGAACTTCAATTATAAACATGCATTCTAAATTGATTTTTTAAAAAACTTATTTGCTACGTTTATCTACAATAGTCTCCCTTAATTAGCATAGGAAATTGAAAATTCGTTGTAATTTATTATCTCTGCTCTTGTATCTTATTCAACAGACATACTTATTAGCATTTATATTTGTAAATGAAATTGCTCTGAGTTTTCCTGGCTTCTGAGTTTTCTGTTTTTGTTTTCTTAGGAACAAGAGGACTGAGAAAATATGGTCAGCATTTTAATAACACCATAAGTCCAAGATAATAAATGATTCTATAAAGTTTTCAATTGTCCAGTTTCATTAATTCAGAACGTCATCATATAACTTGAAATCCAATTGGCTTCCTCTTTGTTAAAAACAAAAACAAAAACTCCAAAACAAAAAAGGATGCATTATTTTCCAGTGTTAGGCCAGTTTGTCCTCAAATTAAGTAGAATCTCAACATCTTGTTGAGCCAGTTTGTAAATTCCAACTTCATTTAATGCCTCTGTGGCAGGAGGCTGCCCTGAAGCGGACTGGAGGACATCTTTCAGAAGTAGGGCAGAACCGATGTTCAGGTTCAAAACAATACAGGCTTCTTTTACACTGTTTAAAAAAAAAAAGGTAGGAGGGAAATGAGATATCCATTATCTGTGTCATCCACATTATTCCACAATATTTTCGAAACTAAACAGCTTCCCTGCACTGTCCATATGCCCTCTGTAAAAAGTATTGATGGATTTCTTATTTGGCTCTTTCAACACATTAGGACTATGTATTTGTACAGTGTTTATATTTAATAGATTAATGTAACAGGACCATTGTTTTCAATATGTATCTATTACTTCCCAAAATATAATAATGATACTAACACAATAGCCTATTAAATGTAGCTAAGACTTTAGCTAGATTAGAATATGGAAAGAGAAACAAACAAAATTAGATAACTTACTAAAATGAGCAAAAATAAATCTTTCATTTTATAATAACTTTAAAAGAAATACTTTATAATCTCAAATTCCCCCAATAATTTAAATTTTAAATCAACAATTTCTAAAAATACTCCTAAGACTTTTTCGTACATTTATAATTATGCTTAGAACCAAAATTAATACTAAATATTTAGGAAAACATTTTCTTCAGGCCTGGCTTACTATTAGGTACTAAGCATATTTTCAATTTCTTCTACTTGAATGTGGCAGAACTGCACTTGTTCGCATTTTCTCTCTCCAGTAACATGCAAATAGGAGCATTAAACCAAATGCAAGCAACAAAAAGCCTAACACATAACTTAGATTCATTTTTGATAAACTTGGGGAATCATGAATCACATCTTAGGTTATCTGGGTACACAGTGCATGTTTTTAAATTTCAATTGATGCTCTATTTATCCCATCAAACATCACTGGAACCGGAGAGTTGTTAGAAAAAAAAAAGGAATCAACCTCGTCTAAACGCTTAGTAGTCACTGTTAAATATTGAGCTTACTGTTTAAAATAATTTTCTGGTCTCTTGCAATAGTGGGAGAACAAGGGAAACAGATTCCGAGTCATATCAAACTGCAACTGAGCCGCTCCTCCTTCATTGAAGTGATTAGCAAGAATGATCTGAAACAAAGAGCAGGTCCTGTAACGGCCGCCTTGATCCTCACAGCCCCGACATGCGGCCTCCTCTTACTTACTTCTTGGTAGATGTATACATCCAGCTTCTCCACAAGCATTTGCCAGAAAATTTTAAACAAGGAGAAGCAGAGCTGCTGCTCCAGCTGAAGGGAGCGGTCTCTGAGCGTGAGCAGGAGTGGGCAGGCCGAGCTAGACAGGGACATCACCGCTTGCTCGGCCTGCGACGGCAACGACAGCCACCTGCAAGACACAAGAGCAGCACGGCCTGTGGCACGTTAAGTGTGACTACAAGATTTTCAAAACGTGGTGGTTTTTTTTTAAGATTTTATTTATTTATTTTTTTGACAGAGACACAGCAAGAGAGGGAACACAAGCAGGGGGGAGAGGGAGAGGGAGAAGCAGGCTTCCCGCCGAGCAGGGAGCCCGATGCGGGGCTTGATCCCAGGACCCTGGGATCATGACCTGAGCCGAAGGCAGATGCTTAACGACTGAGCCACCCAGGTGCCCCAAAACGTGGTGTTTTTAAAGATTTAACAGATCCTTTCAAATTCGGGGAAGTGCACTTTGGATAAGAAACGATGTACCGCCCAGCATGAAAAGCTGTCTGAGAAAATAAATATATTTGGGGCGCCTGGGTGGCTCAGTCAGTTAAGCGTCTGCCTTCGGCTCAGGTCATGATCCCAGGGTCCTGGGATCGAGCCCCGCATCGGGCTCCCTGCTCAGCGGGAAGCCTGCTTCTCCCTCTCCCACTCCCCCTGCTTGTGTTCTCTTTCTAGCTGTGTCTCTCTGTCAAATAAATAGAATCTTAAAAAAAAAAAAAGAGTTGGACGCTCAACTAAGCCACCCTGGCACCCCTGCCCATTTTTTAATTGGACTATTTATTTTTTGGGTGTTGAGTTTTAGAAGTTCTATATGTATTTTGGTTTTTTGTTTGTTTGGGTTTTTTTTAAAGATTTTATTTATTTATTTATTTGACAGAGAAAGACACAATGAGAGAGGGAACACAAGCAGGGGGAGTGGGAGAGGGAGAAGCAGACTCCCTGCCGAGCAGGGAGCCCGATGCGGGACTCGATCCAGGGACTCCAGGATCATGACCTGAGCCGAAGGCAGTCGCTTAACCAACTGAGCCACCCAGGCGCCCCTATATGTATTTTGGATACATAACTTCTCCCATTCTGTAGGTTGCCTTTTAGTTTTCTTGACTGTTTCCTTCGCTGTACAGAAGCTTTTTATTTTGATAAAGTCCCAATTGCTTATTTTTTGCTTTTGTTTCCCTTGCCTCAGGGGACCTATCTAGAAAAATGTTGCTATGGTTTTCTTCTAGGATTTTTATGGTTTCAGGTCTCATATTTAGGTCTTTAATCCATTTTGATTTTATTTTTGTGTATGGTAAGAAAAGTGGTCCAGTTTCATTCTTCTGCATGTTGCTGACCAGTTTTCCCAACACCATTTGTTGTGGAGACTGTCTTTTTCCCATTTTTCCTTCCTGCTTTGTGGAAGATTAATTGACCATATAATCATGGATTTATTTCTGGATTTTCTATTCTGTTCTATGATCTAGGTGTCTATTTTTGTCAGTACTGTACTGTTTTGATGCCTACAGCTTTGTATTGTAATTAAGGTCTGGAATCGTGATGCTTCCAGCCATGCTTTTTATTTGTTTTCCAAGACTGCTTTGGCTGTTCGAAGTCTTTTGTGGTTCCATACAAATTTTAGGATTATTTGTTCTAGCTCTGTGAAAAATGCTGTTGGTATTTTGACAGGGATTGCATTAAATGTGTAGATTGCTTTGGGTAGCATAGACTTTTTAACAATGTTTGTTCTTCCAATCCATGAGCAGGGAATGTCTTTCCATTTCTTTGTGCCATCTTCAATTTTTTTCATCAGTGTTATAGTTTTCAGAGTACAGGTCTTTCACCTCTTTAGTTAGGTTTATTCCTAGGTTATCTTATTATTTTTGGTACAATTGTAAATGGGATGGTTTCCTTAATTTCTTTTTCTGCTTCTTTATTATTGGTGTATAGAAATGCTACAGATTTTTGTACATTGTGTATTCTATGACTTTACTGAATTCATTATTCTACCAGTTTGTTGGTGGAGTCTTTCAGGTTTTCTATATACAGTATAAAGTCATCAACAATTAACATTTTACTTCTTCCTTACCGATCTGGATGTCTTTTATTTCTTTTTGTTGTGTGATTGCTGTGGTTAGGACTTCCAGTATTAGATTGAATAAAGTGGTGAGAGTGGACATCCCTGTTTTGTTCTGACCTTAGGGGGAAAGGCTCTCAGCTTTTCCCCACTGAGGATGATGTTCACTGTGGGATTTTCATATATGGCCTTTATTATGTTGAGGTATGCTCCCTCTAAACCTAATTTGTTGAGGGTTTTTTAACATGAATGGATGTTATACTTTGTCAAATGTTTTTTCTGCATCTACTGAAATGATTATATGGTTATCCTTTCTCCTACTGATGTAAATGTGTGTCGCTGACTGATTTGCAAATATTGAACTACTCTTGCAACCCAGGAATAAATCCCACTTGATTGTGGAGAATGATTTTTTTTAAATGTACTGTTGGGTTTGGCTTGGTAGTATTTTGTTGAGGATTTTTGCATCTATATTCATCAGGGAGATTGGCCTGTAATTCTCTTTTTTTGTGGTGGCTTTATCTGGTTTCGGTATCAGGGTAATGCTGGCCTCATGGAATGAATTAGGAAGTTTTCCTTCCTCTTCTAATTTTTGGAATAATTTGAGAAAAATAGGTATTTATCATCTTTCAATTTTTAGCAAACTGGATTTGATAGTTGAATTGTCAGTAAATACAAAAGGACCTACCTTTCTTTTTTATACAATTTTGCAGCTTCTTTAACTTCTCTAAAAACGTGGTCTACTTGGCGGGTCAACATGTCATGCTTTAAACGTTCCAGCAGGTTAATCATGTCATCAAAGACAGAACTCTCCATCGAGGCTAGCTGTCCCAGCTGCAACTTACTGAGGGTGTTATTCTCTGCAAAGACCTCCAGTGCTGCCTGTTGAAGTTGTAGGAAGAACTGAAAGCAAAAATAGGTCAATATGGTCATTAAGATACTTCTTTTTTAACAGCTTGAAATATAATTCATGTACTACATCTCATTCATTTCAAGTGGACAATTCATTGGCTTTTAGCATATATTCAGAGTTGTGCATTTATCACCAGAGTCAATTTTAGAATGTTTCCATTACCCCAAAAAGATACCCCACACTTAACCATCATCTCCCAATCCCTTCCCTGCATGCCACCCCCAACCGTAGGCAACCACTGATTTTCCTGTCTTTGTCGACTTGCCTGTTCTGGACGTTTCATAGAAATGTAATTATATAATTTATGGTTCTTTGTGACTGGCTTCTTTCACTTAGTATGTTTTCAAGGTTCATCTATGTTGTAATATGTATCAGGACTTAATTTCTTTTCATTACTGAATAATCCATTATATTTACATTTACATTTTATTTATATATATCTATTTTATTTATCCATTCATCAGTTGACAGATAATTGGGTTCTTTCCACCTTTTTGTCTTTATGAATAATACCACTATGAACATTTGTGTGTAAGTTTTTGTGTAGATAATTGTCTTCATTTCTCTTGGATATACCTAGAAGTAGAATTGCTGGATCATATGGTAATTCTTTAACT